TCGCTTTTTACCACAAAAATCCAAGAAAATTGAACAGCAAAAGCAAGTTACATACTGGTACATATTTCCGAAAACAGTGCAACGGTACCGACAAAAACACGTAGTTACTGACGGCTGAGCATACCATCACTGTGTAGAGCTGATAAAAACCAATCGGTCAATATTTGGCATTCGAACTTATCGAAATAAAATTTAAAGTCGAATTTGAAATGCTACCGAAAATAAACATTACAGTAAAGAATGTCTCAGACATCAGCTTGTGATAAAAAAAATATTATGGCGTCACTTTGCTACAAAGATAGACAAACTACACCAGCATGTTATACAACGAGCAGGCCTAGTATTAACACGGAAAGCACAACAGGTCTTCCTAGAATTAAAAACGTGGCACCACAAACATCATAAAAGTGTAGCTTCTTGTTCCCCTACGAAATTTACAATAAATTCAATATTCAGCCACTACACTGGCCATTTTGCGTTATCTAAGTGACAATCCCCGACCAAAACCAATAGAATATCTCCTTCACCTGCTATCAAACAATGCATAAGCCAGATGAAAGTGCATTAATCAATCTTCTAAAAAACCTAGCAACTTACTATTGATGGTAACGATATCACAGCAAAAGTTAAAATCACTCTTAAATTTATCACAGTAGTTAAAAGTAACAATCATGACTCGAGAACCCTTATCTGTTTGTGTAACGAAATAAACAACTTTGATAAAAGACCTAAAACTGTTACAAATATTTACAAAAATTTCTCACACAAAGATCTGAAGGTTATAATTACAACGAAATGAACCAACAGTTAAAGCATAATAATGTAAAATACTTCTCTAAATTTATCACTGAATAACTAAGTAGTCGCAAAAGTAAACCAAGGTCAAGTTAAAACACACCCCAATACCCTTTCCGGCCAAAAACCACCATCAGTCAGCGAAAAAAAAAGTATCCAATCTTCGTATGAGAAAAAAACGATCTTAAAGTCGATATGGACTGTAATTTTGTGACAAAACACTAAAAAGAAGCAAAATGAGCAAAAAATAAAACTTAATAAACCGGGCAGGATAGCCGAAATCCGAGATTAAAAAAAACACACAAAGCTCCAATATTTCCAATGAAAGTTTGCAATTAGGATCTATCTACACTGCAAACCATTCAAATATTAAAGTGAGCTGTTTAAGCCGTGTACAGATACGGCTCTGTCAAGGGCATCAAAAGGAGGAGAAAAATACAAAAACCAGTAATATGAGAGCTCCATAAAACCACGCGAGTTAAACGGCTTTGATACTGTTCTATGTAATTGAACATAGGTAGGCCCATACCATTACATATCGAATGACTCACTATAGCCGATATTATATTTTCTGCAAATTCACAAATATACGAGAAAATTAACCCGTGCAGGAACGATTATTACTAAGAGCAAATTATTTTGATTCGTTTTTTCAGGAAAACAGGTTTAAACACACGAAAACACTTGTAAAAAAACGCATGCGACTGAAAAATGTACAAAATATAAATCTTCACAAAAGTTCCAAGAGCTCACCTGTACGTACAAATAAAAAGGTAGCGTAACATCCAAAAACGTATGAATATAGAGCTTGAAATGCTAAAAATGGAAAACTGCAAATAGTTACATATTAATAAATAAAAAATAATAACAAATTCCTATAAGAATATATGCTACCTCGACGTCGCATGGCACTCCATATATCGCTGCCTTTTTTAGCATCGTCAAACACATGATGGAAATGGCTCAGTGAAAAGGGTAAAGGAGCTACTGCAATAGTAAAGAGAGGAGAAAACACTTCTCGAATCAGTGATGCAGCGCAGGCTCGAAAAGCCAATTCTTCCGTAATAGGGGCCTGAAATCTGAATATGCCTCACTCTGAAATAAAACTGATAGAAAACAAACACAGTCTGGGAGTACGGTTTCTAAATCATCATAAACTTCATCAATAAAGTTTAGCCTCCAGTGTACATAGGTTACAGCACAAAAAGTCATGTGAAATACGTACCTCGACACATCAAGCTTTTCTCGCAAAAAATATTTCCTCATCCCTTATCATGATTTAAAAAGATCCAAGAAGCAGAAAAAACGTATAAAAAAACTAATGCTTCCTATACAGCCTCTTAAAAATGCGTTCTAACAGTAAATCAATCTAAGGAAACAGCTATGATTTATCTTAAAGAATTGTAAAAAGACTTTTTTCCAAAGCTGAATTAAGCTGTTCATGAATTAGTTGCAAAAATACTTACTGGCAGCTATAACTCTAATGAAAAATGATTCAATTCTTTTCGAATTTTTTATCCCTGTTAAAATAAGATAGCTGAGGAAACTAAATCTTCCAGAAACGTCAAAAATTAAGGTTTCAGAGAAACAGTTCACAAGATTAGTGAAAATATTAAAAAAATTATCGAAAAGCACGCTTCAAAAAATATTTGCTTCACAGCAGCCAATATGTCAAATCTAACATTTAATTAATTGACTTTAAATGTTAATAACATATGAAAACATATCCCACTTCCTTCCTCCACCCAAACGACAGATCAGTTATTAGTTCTCTGTTACTTCGTCAAGTGAAATTACTTTCTTCCAAATACCGCCTAAAACCTCAAGTTTCTACCATTAAAAAAAATATAAGTGTCTAATACTTTCAGTGTCACAAGAGTTCATAATTGAAGCAAGAGAGCGCAAACAACTGAGTCCAAAAGATTAAAAGGCGGGAGGTCATGACATTAAACTTAAATATCACAGACGAGCATTTAAATGACACTACTGAATTAAGAAAAAAAATGAAACTCTTCTTTAGCTTGAAGTGAGGTTCACACTGTCCTTCTCGTGCCCAAAAAATCATAAAGAAGAATGCATCAGGTCTTAAGAAAAATTGGAAAATGATTTAAAGCATCCTAAACCTTACCATAACGTTATCACGAAACCAAGGAAGAGATGTGAAACTGATTCTCCATTCAGTAAAATCTGCAAAAATAAGTAATTTTAGGATAAAAACACTTCGAAAGACCTCAGTGAAGCGAAGGTACAGTAATTTAACCAATACAATCAATTAAATCGAACTTTTTTTTACACTCACTGCTACTGTTCATTAAGCATTTTTTCAAATAATTCATGAAAAACTATATTCAATTCTAGAAAAGTCTCTTTACAATTTTTTAAGATAAGCCACACATTATCCTGTGCAATACCATTACTGAAAAATGAAAATGAGTTTAACATTGAGACAGAGATGTTATATTACCAGGAAATTATACATAAAAAATAAATCAGTGCTACCTAAAAACAGTAATTTTCTTATAAAGTAAAAAAAGTAACTGTGAGTGGAAAAGTGGTAGCAAAAATTTGTACCAAAATAAGCTTCAATTTGTCCGTCATACCACAGCATTACCCAGTTACCGAGATAACAACAAGAGGTAAGTAGTAAAGAGAATATAAAGGCAGCGTACATGCCTCTAGTGTGAAGGCCCATAACAGCAAGAGGTTGTGCATGGTGCTGTAATTATTCAGTATTTCAGTCTTATCCAAAACTTCAAATTGTTAAACAAAACCAATTTCATACTTTTATGCTACAGCAATTGTCTAGAATGCTACACTAAAATTTCACTTGAATCTTCCAATAGCAGAATCAGCAAATAAGAAAATTATGATCAAGAAAAATAAGCTGACATATATATCTGACAACCAGTAATCTACCAAACTTTATCAGAGAAAATTGACCTCCACCTCTTTAGAAACGTAAATGCTTTCAATCTTTTCCTTTCCATCCCATTCGACTTCACCTTCTTTCAGTGAAAGTGTTAAAAAATGCGATTTTAAAAAATACATACAAAATTAGTATCTGTTGTTGAACAGGAAGATCAGAAAATATATGAGAGAAGGCTCTATTCAAACATTTCGAAGAGAGTGCTTTAAAACATTAAACTGTGACCTAAATAACTGTTTACAAATTCAAGCTTTCTGGCTTAAAACTTAGTAGTATGCTGCAAAAACAAGTTAAACGAGTAAGAAAATAGAAAAAAATGATGCATTGAAAAAATCAAATCTGAACAAATAAAGTTTTTCTTGTTTTCGATACCCCACCTATGGTTTCGATGGTTTTATGCGATGAGCTAAGAAAAACAACATCAACAGCTGAAAATTATCCTGTCTTGATAAAAGGGTCAAAGAAAAGGAACTAACCTGAGCCAATAGGATATAGGTGGTTAAAATGCTAATCAGATTGCATACCACAGCACCGCAAAATCGTCGTTTGATACTTTTCGGATGATTGCGATCCGTTCCATTGTAGTCAAATGCGTACAAAAATCCAACATACGATAACGATATTGTTGTTGCCAAACTCAGGTGTAATGGCAAAAGCATAACTGTTGGGCATAATGTTCTAAATAAAAAATTTAAATCTTTCCTGTTACAAAAAATCAAAAAAAAAAAACTTGTCTTCTTCACCAGCAAAACCAGTTTATAACTGCCTTTGGAACAAACATCGGTACTTCTATGGAAGAAAATAACTAGACAAAGAAACCTACCTCAGAAATAGAAAGTAAAAAAAAATCCACAGTACAATACACCTTCAACAGAACGACGAAACAAAAAGTTAAGGAGGCAGTAGAGAGAATAAAAAAGGTTACATTTTTCTCAACTTCCAATATGAATTAAACAGGAAAAAACAGGCATAATAAATGGAAGGAAAACATAGTTCAAAGCTAGAAGAAATAAAAGAAAGAAGAACCAATGAATAATTACAGCTATTGAAGGAGTGTATGCCAGAAAGACGTCAATATTCGTCCATCTCTCACAGTTCACGGCAACCTTCCACTTAGTATCTTTCAATGAGCAACCCTCAGCAATGCACTGCAAAAAGTGCGTTGAACTTGATATCCAACCCATACATGTCGGCTACTCTTACGTATATAGGCGCCGTCATTTCTAATTTGTGTTTCGCGGCAGGACCAGTGTTACCGTACCACGGCCGGCTAGCAAGTTTTAACAATGCTGACCACCGGTCAAGTTGGGCATTGTTTGCCAAGTTTATTTCTGGTGGTTAGTGGGTTTTTTGACACCATTCGTTTCGTCAGAACTGTGGTTAGCGGTATGTCGCTATCCTATGTTGATGCGTGGCGTTGTTGTCGAGATATTCCCTGAAATGTGACAGTAGAGCTAATTTTCATCATTACTACTTTTGTTACTTCTACTTAAGAGTACAGGTTTTTATGGACGGAACAATTTTTTTTTTTACACAGAGGTTCCACGGAGTGTTTTCTTAACATGGGTAAAATCATTTTTTACAGTAATAATTCCAGTTTTTTTGAAATCTTGCTATTTTCAGAAAGGAGTGGACTGTTGTAGAGGTGGAGTAACGGGTTTCATGTGCTTACTGTTGAGTTTGAATTTATTTTTTTTAATCTCTTCTTCGTATGATTAGATGTTTTTTCGTGTACGTGAACGCTGTCATTCATTCTGGGTTTTTATTTTTCCCAAAAATTGTATTTTTTTT